GACTTCTCCACCGATCAACTGGTCGGACCGCTTGGTTCATGGACTCCGTCGCCGACCAGTTGATCGGACTATTTGCCGATCGCTTCTACTCAATGCTCACTTCGCCGCTGACCAGTTGACCAGACTATTCGTCGCTCGTGCTTCATCGCCAGCTACGCCAGGAACTCCTCGGCGCTCGGATTCTTCGTGCTCGAGGACTAAGTGGGCACACTTCACCACACGGATGTCGCCAGCTACGTCGGTGCTCGGACCTCACCATCTTCACCGGGAACTCCTCGGTGCTCGGACATCACCGCCTACGCCGGGGACTCCTTGCTGCTTAGACATCGCCGCCTACGCTGGGGACTCCTCGCTGGTCGGACATCGCCAGCTACGCCAGGAACTCCTCATTGCTCGGACGTCGCCAGCTGCGCTAGGAACTCCTCGGTGCTCGGACATCGCCGCCTACGCCGGGGACTCCTCGGTGCTCAGACATCGCCACCTACGCCAGGAACCCCTCGCTGCTCGGACGTTGCTAGCTGCGCCGGGAACTCCTCAGTGCTCGGACATCGCCGCCTACACCGGGGATTCCTCAGTGCTCGGACATCGCCAGCGACGCCGGGGACTCCTCGCTCTTCGGTGCTCGGACATCGCCAGCGACACCGGGGATTCCTTAGTGCTCAGACATCGCTAGCAACGTCGGGGACTCTTCGCTCCTCGGTGCTTGGACATCACCGGCGACGCCGGGGACTCCTCGCTCCTCGGTGCTCGGACATCACCAGCGACGCTGGGGACTCCTCGCTCTTTGGTGCTCGGACATCGCAAGCGACGCCGGGGACTCATCGCTCCTCAGCGCTCGGACATCGCCAGCGATGTCGGGGATTCCTTGCTCTTCGGTGCTCGGACATCGCTAGCGACACCGGGGACTCCCTGCTCCTTGGTGCTCGGACATCGCCAGCGACGTCGGGGACTCCTCGCTCCTCGGTGCTCGGACATCACCAGCGACGCCGGGGACTCCTCACTCCTCGGTGCTCAGACATCGCCAGCTACGCCGGGGACTCCTCGGCGCTCGAACATCGCCCTTAGTAGTCAGATCTTGCTACGTCTCATCGATGTGCTATCAAGCTGCTCCATGCTATTCAGATCAGGGTGCTGATCTTGGGCAGCACGTCTAGGGTCTTCATATGCGCATGTCGGATGACGTCAGCAAAGCTTTCAAACTTCTTTTTCTTTGACCCTGCTACAAGATTCATTCTTCATCTTCCAGCAGGCTTAGGGACTAAGTGGGCACACTTCACCTTGCGGTGAATGTGCGCTTTTCTCATCTCGAGGGTACGCCCAGGGGTTGGCTGCCTGCTCGGCTGGTCTTCTACTTTCTAACCCTGGCACCACGTGATTACATCACCTACTGTTAGGCTCGGGGACTAGATGTGGGGGTATGGCCCCCGGTATCCACAAGACAAGACATGGGCCGCACCATCAGAGGTGGCCCGGCCCACAAGATCAAGGCGTGCACGGCGCTGCTCGGCGTGCACCGCAAGCTATTGTATAGTACCAAATAGGATATTTTCCTTGTAACTCTGCCCCTCTAGAGTATATAAGGAGAGGCAGGGGTCCCCTAGTCGCCAGGCTACATCTCAATACGCCGTCAAGCGAGTTGCTAAGCGAGCTGCATGCGTCAAGCGAGTTGCTGCTGCTGTGCTCATCTGCGCTTCCAACACGAGATCAACTTTGTTCCAGCCGTCAAGCGAGTTGCTAAGCGAGTTGCCCGTGTCGCCGACCAGATAATGCCATACGCCATCGACCAGACGTTCTGTTTAAAGGTAAGTCACGCTTTAATATTCTTCTAAATACTCTCCAATCTTCGTATATCGCCATAATGTTTCTCCGAGCTGTTTTCTCCATATTTGCTCTCCAAACGATTTTTGAACCCTCGAACAGTCATGTTGATGCTTGGACGCCCCCAGAGACGGTCTTGTCTCTGGCTTCTCCCTACACGTGCTACAGGCTCCGCGCTCTGCGTTATGGGTGGTCGGCAGCGGCTCCTTGGTCACGCCTATTCCTCCTACACGTGCACGAGCTCCGCGCTCCGCGTTATGGTTAACGGGCTAGCTAGGGCTGGAGACTCAGCTACACACTAACTGGTCAGGCGGTTCATATTAAATATAAATATATCTTCACACCAACTGATCGCCGAACTGCATACGCCGTTTTATCACCATTGCTAATTTTCTCCATATTTCATATATTTTCACATCATATACTACTCGTTTTACATGTTTGTATTGCAGGATCATCGTCCAGGTGATCGGACCACCTGGTGCTCGGACTTCTCCACCGATCAACTAGTCGGACCGCTAGGTTCATGAGCTTCATCGCCGACCAGTTGATCGGATTGTTCGCTGGTCGCTTCTATTCAATGCTCACTTCACCGCCGACCAGTTGACCAGACTGTTCGTCGCTCGTGCTTCATCGCTAGCTACATTGGGGACCCCTCGGTGCTCGGATTCTTCGTGCTCGAGGGCTAAGTGGGCACACTTCACTGCACGGACGTCGCCAGCCACGCCGGTGCTTGGACCTCGCCAGCTTCACCGGGAACTCCTTGCTGCTCGGACGTCACCGCCTACGCTGGGGACTCCTTGCTGCTCGGACATCGCCGCCTACGTCGGGAACCCCTCGGCGCTCGGATTCTTAGTGCTCGAGGACTAAGTGGGCATGCTTCACCGCACGGACGTCGCCAGCTACGCCGGTGCTCGGACCTCGCCAGCTTCGCCGGGAACTCCTTGCTGCTCGGATGTCACCGCCTACGCCGGGGACTCCTCGCTGTTCGGACATCGCCGCCTACGCCGGAGACTCCTCGGTGCTCGGACATCGCCAGCTACGCTGGGGACTCCTCGCTCCTCGGTGCTCGGACATCGCCAGCGACGCCGGGGACTCCTCGCTCCTCGGTGCTCGGACATCGCCTGCTACGCCGGGGACTCCTCATCGCTCGGACATCACCAGCGACGCTGGGGATTCTTTGCTCCTCGGTGCTCGGACATCGGATCTTGCTATGTCTCATCGGTGTGTTATCAAGCTGCTCCATGCTGTTCGGATCAGGGTGCTAATCTTGGGCAGCACGTCTGGGGTCTTGATACGCGCATGTCAGACGACGTCGACAATCTTTCAGACTTCTTTTTCTTTGACCCTGCTACAAGATTCATTCTTCATCTTCTAGCAGGCTCGGGGACTAAGTGGGCACACTTCACCTTACGGTGAATGTGCGCTTTTCTCATCTCGAGGCTACGCCCGGGGACTGGCTGCCTGCTCGGCTGGTCTTTCTACTTTCTGACCCTGGCACCATGTGACTACGTCACCTACCGTCAGGCTCGGGGACTAGCTGTGGGGGTATGGCCCCCGGTATCCATAAGACAAGATATGGGCCGTACCATCAGAGGTGGCCCAGCCCACAAGATCAAGGCGTGCACGGCGCTGTTCGGCGTGCACCGCAAGTTATTGTATAGTACCAAATATGATATTTTTCTTGTAACCCTACTCCTCCAGAGTATATAAGGAGAGGCAGGGGTCCTCTACTCGACACCATGTATTCAATACAATACACCAAAACACATGACGTAGGGTATTACGTCGATCAGACGGTCTAAACCTGTCTAAATCGCTGTCTCTGCGCCTTGTGTCACCATCCGGTTCCTGATTACGCGCACCCCCACCGACAAATCTACCATCGCAGGATGCCCCTCGGTGGACTGCCGAGCATCTTTTGTCGACACTTACCTTCAGAGTTCCTAGAAAAGCGACCATGACTAGCCAAGACAAGATATATGCCTAGAAAGGGAAGAGGAATTAGGATACCTTGCAAGTGTACAATACTACACATCAAGCATTAAAGCAGATAGTGTACAATTTAAGTTACCCAAATGGTTCTGTCAGGATTAGTTATGTTTAGATGGTAAACAATGTTACACTGGTAGACCAAAAACCGAAGTGAAGAGGATTATTTCCATCAGACGGGCATGGAAACAAGTTTTGCTGAGGCGCTCCTGCTCAGTTGTCCACCAAACTTCCGAGCTCTGTTACACAAATATACCAATACTCCTTTGTTGTTTATCCAGTTCCACCATAAGTAGTGGATGAATGGTGTTTGACGAATTTCATGTTCGAGAGTTGCGTGCTTACGTGGTGCGACGCAACGTGGAGCTCTGGGTCTTGTTTCAGAGATTGTGCTCTGTTTAGAACATCTACAGGGCCGGCCCTAGGGGAGGGGCGAGGGGTGCGACCGCTGGGGGCCCAGCCTAGACAAGGGCCCAAACCCAGGTATGCAATCCCCCATAGACCATTAGCTGTTAGGCCTCCCTGAGGAGCGACGAGAGCCGGCCCCTCTAAGAAAGTATCAATAGATTCTTTATTAATTATATTTTTATAATATATACCTATTTGATGTCATAAATTCTTGTAATTCTTTCTATACTTTTAGTAAAACTTGAGATTTTTTTACTCTCCAAAAAAGTGAGAATGACTTATAAATTGGAAGAGGAAGTAACATTGTTCAACGTGTGGGGAGAGGATGAGGCTGGCAATTGTCAAGGAATGGTCGGCAAGGTACACCTAAGAACCATCATCTCATCAAGGAACAAGAATGAAGAAACGAGTAACTGCCTGCGACATGGATTCAATTCAGCAAAAGATCGCTCATCAGGGCATCTTGAGCAGCAAAAATGCCAGACAAAGGCGGCGTTTAGCAGGCAACATAGATCAACAAACTACGGTCACACCAATGGTGTGCACATATCCAGGCAAGCCACCAACTCCAAGCAGAGCAAACGTAACAGCATCAACAAAGGTTCTCCTGCCTAAAGGGATGCAGTTCAGGATCAAAATCCATCGAAATGACAACAGACATCAACTAAACTGAACTGATCTGCAATATTACCTAGAGGACAACACACGAGAACAACCTTCTACTGCAATACTTTGTCCTAGCGAATCATGTACAAGCAACAAATAAGGCGACACAAAATCCCTCAACCCCTGGCTAGCGACACATCAAGACGAGCCGTTCTACTGCCACTTGGAGATGTTCTGAATCGCGATGATGAGTCCTTCTCACTGATCCTCCTGTAGCTGTAGTTACCAACTCCTGAGCTGTGTGCCCCTGAAGCTAACCACCGCAGCTGCAGCACCGTAACAATTCCGAGAGCTAAAGCTGCACTGTTCCCAAATGCACAACCCAAACTTTTGAGATTGAAACTGCTCCCTGCAATAGCAAGACTAGAAGATACCATCCGCGCAAAGAAATTTGGACCCTTTGCAGTGTTACTGGAACTGTCAGCGCACTTCTCAGCCTTGGTAGCTGACAGAGAAGGCCAAACATCCTGGTAGACATTGCGGACGAAGTCGGACGCCTCATCTATGACTTCGTGATTTTTCCCATGATGCTCTTTTAGTCTTATTGCAAGCATGATGCGGCTTTGCTCCAACCTTGCTAATGCAAAATCTCGTTCTGCCTGTTGCTGTGACTGCACAGCCTGAAAGAACCGTTGTGCAGTTAGACAATGCAAATGCAGATTAAAAGCATTAACGTGATTATTTCCTATAATAGCCACAGAACACACTATATAGATGGTAACAAACAACATAATTTATTCTACAAGTTTATCTATAGAAATGTAAAGTTTAGATTTCAGAGCAGTACAGAAATATTAGACATTTAACATTTAGAAGAAACCCAGCTCAATTTTTCAAGATAATTTGGCATGTTGAATGAGAACGAGTACAAGTGCTGAAACCACATAATAATGATAAACAACTGTAAACATAAAAGGATGTAGAGAACTGAAGTTCTCTGCTCCAACCATACCATGTAATAATACAATCAGAGTAGAGCTTTTCTTCATAATCATGGTATGGTACGGACAGACCAATCCAAATGTGCTTATGCACTCAACAATATCACTGCAATAATTTTTTTTGAACGCAAATATCGCTGCAATAATACAATCAGAGTAGAGCTTTTGTTTATAATCATGTTATGGTACAGACAGACCGATCTAAATTACAAATGTGCTTATGCACTCAGCCATATCAGATATTGTTAGTCGCTGAATTCTCACTCTTGGTAGTAGCAGAATTCTTACTCTCATCGAGAGAGGATGACACTAGGAGTTGGGACAATTTTCTGGTTTATTTCTCAATGCCATGCCAACCTGAGGGGTTGGAGATACATATTTATAGACTGCTAACCAGCCAAGCATATGTCAAGATGCTAGTCTAAGATGTTGTCCTAGATGCTAAGATGATGTCCTCTAAATGCTAGTCTAAGTTGTTGTCCTAGATGCTAAGATGCTGTCCTCTAAGATACTGTCCTAGATGCTAAGATGCTGTCAAAAACAGACCATGCAGCCACAAGGACCATGTGCTGCAGCACTACAAAGACCCGCCAACACATGAGACTTATCCCATCAGATATCACTGCCTACTTGCCTGAAACCACCAAACATGGCCATGAATTTGCATCGCATATAACCATATCACAAAGGATTTAAACAAGGTCTGGCTACAAGATGGATACAGGCCAATTGCCCAAATAACTTTTTCTTTAAGAAAATAATTAGCCCAACCACATGCAGATCTGCCTATAAGCGATTCATCCAAGGTAATTCACTAATTCCCCTCTTCATCAAGAAAAAAATGGAAATCGGCACCCCGCGATTGACTAGTTCCATTCTCAACAACCACTTAAACATGTGGCAACCGCACAAAATCCTACCGTGGTTTCAAGCCTGAACATATCACTCGCTTGGAAACCACCCGCATTTCCAGTCACACCGAGTCCCCAACACTAGTCGAACATTCTTTTTTTTTCAACAAACTAATAAACATTAACAAATTCGCAGCTCGCATCGAGCACAGAAGATCAGATCGCACGAGCAAGACCGACAGATAGCCCAGGAGGAGAGGAGGGAGGGAAAGTCAGGTCAGGAGGGGGCTCACGAGAAAGCACTCGAACTGGTCCTCGAGGTCCTCGAGCGCGGCGCGGATGGCGTGCAGGCTCCTGGCCTCATCAGCCAGGGCCGCCAGAGCGGCGACCTCGTCTCCACCGCGAACGCCGAGACCCAGACCCCCGCCCTTGACGTACACGAGGCCGGCGGCGGGCTTGTCTCCGGAGGCGGACGCGCGGCGGCGGACGGCGCGCAGGAAGTGGGCGCGGGAGAGGGCGTGGATGGCGTCGCTGACCTTGTCGTGGAGGTCCCAGATGGTCTCCAGCACGGCCTCCGCCTCCTCGGGCCCCATCGGGAACCCTAGGTCCGGCCGGAAGGTTCTAGAACATTCGGACGCAGGGGCCAGGGGGGCTGTTTCGATTTCGAATCGAGAAGAGAAGAGGCGTTGGACGACGACTCACCGTCACTGGACTGGTGTGGTGGTGGTTTTGCGGCGCCTCATTTTTAGCCGAGTCACAGTAACTGCATTTTAGCCGTCTTATTCGCCGGTTATTACTGTCACCTCGGGTTGAAAATGTCAGCTCCTCCACTGAACCACGAGTCCATGCTAGATAGTCCACCATAATCCTGTACAGTCACTGGGCATGCAAAGATATCGATTGCCAAGAAATTGGTTTTGTCACCACTGCTAATGGGCTTTGTTTTAAAAATCGTCTAGCACCACCATTGGGGTGGCTGATGTGCTATGTAAAATTGACTAGCATCATAGGGGTGGCTGTCAAGTGCCAAAACGAACTGGAACAGAGGATAAGTCTCTTCCATCAAAAATTCTTGCAGTGTTGCAGCTGAACAATTTGAAAGGTATTCCTTTTGCAGAATGAAATCAATCTAACATTTTAGGGGCAGCAGCATTTGGGCCTTCGATAAATACACCTAGCTTTGATCATATCCAAGATGACAAGACAAAAATGTAATCCCAGGCACATGGCGGCCAGACAAACATATTTAGAAGCCCAAAGATTTAAGGGCATAAAACTGGAAAAAAAAATAAGCCTCTTTTTTTTTTTTGTCTGAATCACATCCTGGAGGATTACATTGTTTCAAGGATTACTTCAGAGATTCCAGGAGAGTAAGGAAATGCCTTAGTTTCAGAACGACTACAAGGTGCCATTTTAACATCTCATCAACCATCTATCTTAATTCAAAACCTGGTTACAAAAGTGTGTTTCCTTCAACGTCTCTTCCTTCTGCCCCCCTTCTGTTTACCCTTCCCCTTGTGCTTGCCCTTTCTCATCTTCGGTTCTGGCGCGTCCCTCCCTGATGGTTTCGGTGGCGTCAGAAGATGCTTGACGTCCAGTATACCATTCTTAAAGCGCCCTTCTGTGGCCCTAAGAACTCGGTCCTCTGGTCTAGTCTTCTGAGCTTTGGTATTCTTGTCTCTTTTCCCAAAGATCCCAAGTAGTTTTTCCTGTATAGAGTTCTCATGTCACTCCTTGTCTATGTCCTTAAAAGAAGTTATACAAAGTGTAACAGATAAGCAGTAGCATACCTCTTCCATTTTCTTTTGTTCTCTTTTCTTCTGATTTTTCATAGCTGGCTTCGCGACACTCAATGGTGTGCGGTGCTTCTTAACGGCCTATTTCAGATAACATAAACATTGAGATAATGAAAAAAGTTTCAAGCCAGAACATGTAGAGGTAAAAAAAAATGAGAGATTACCTTTCCACCCAACTCAACGACTCTACGGTTCTCGATTTGCTTCCGCCCCTTAAATGTAGGGGCACCTAGAAAAGAAGCATCAAGTGAGTGACTGTACATCTCCAAATCCTTGATAAGTGTTTATGAAAGATGGAACAATACAGGGAAAAGGTGCAGATAAATTGAAGAAGAACAAAACCACATAAACTGAACTCAAACAAAAAAACATCCTTCTCCTCTTTCCTCCCGAATGAAAAGGAACAACAATTCTTATCCCACTTCATCAACAGCATAAAAAGTTGAAAAATAATTGCATGAACAAGTCGGAGCCTTTCAAAACCTGATAATACGAGGATCAAGGTGCACTGATGCAGCATTCATTTCTATAGTTTACAGCTACTTAAACCAAAAGACTATAGAGCAAGCTGCTCGAATCACCCAATCTAGGTTTGAAAATATAGATGAAACTAATTTACATGCACTAGTCTAGTAGTCTGTTGCATATGAATTTAATTTCAAATGCTTCACATTTACCTTGAGCAGCGCGACAGTTTGGTTTACAAATTGTTGTTATCTCTACCTATCGAATCCCGGGTCCAAGCTCGGGCACCCGATATCCCTCTCGCCGTCTGATCCGCCGAACTCGTGATGTCCTCCGTCCGATCGCGGTTTGGTTCGGGTCTCCACTCTCCACCCGCTTCTTCGGAACCTGAACAATCATGAACTTTCTCGCGGCTCCACGCCTCCACCTCTCGCGCCGCCGGCTGCCTGATCTTCCCGGCTGTCCCTGCCACGGAACGGGGCAATCCACCGGCGTCGGCCGCCCTCCCAGCCATCGTTCACTCTTCCCTCCTCCTTCCACCCCTTTCGTTGCTTGGTGCGCCACCTCCTACCGCTCCACGCTCGAGCTCCAGGGGCTGCAGGGCCAGCCTCCTCATCACACAACGCTCAAACGCTCCGCCTATTTGCCTGCTTCTCTTGTGGCGCCTCCTCGTCCGCGGCGTAGTCCTCGATGCCGTGGTCGGTACAGCAGCACGAGACGAGAAGAAGCTAGGCCACAGAAAAATGGCGGAGGCCAGGCGGAAGCGACCGTTGCCATGGAGCTCCACCTCATAGCTCTCTCCCATGTCCCCAATGTAGACACATCACCTTCCTGCTCCTCTCCTTTTGCTGCCTGCCTCTATGGCCGTCGACGAACAAGCAGAAGTCTAAGCGATGGCATCCTCGGATCCTGGCCAGGCCCAGTAGTATGAGCAACGGGCCATGCAGTATAGTGGCGGGAGGTCTCCATTTCTGCTGCACGCCACTGGCACATCCGCTACTCAATTTGCCCAGCCGCGTTCTCCCGCTTGCACGATGCTCGCCCGAGCAGGCAGGCCCTTCCACTCTGTCTTTAGGGGATTGGTCCGAGGAGGGGAACGAGCAGTGGACTCCGTGGTCCTCAGCAGCCTCTGCACATCGTGTGCTCGACGAATTGCCCATGAGAACTCCAGATAGTTGAAGAGTGTGAAAAGGCTCGGTCTAGCAGCAGGCACGGGAGCGCGGCCATGGAGCTGATGCTTAGCCTGGAGCTCCAAGCGGTTCAAGCCACAATAGATGCAGTAGACCATGACGAGATCATGCCCGTATGATTATTGGGTCACATCATTTGTTTGAAGTCTCAAAAGGTTTGTTTGTATCATTATATCCATCGTATCGTATTTCTGTTTTCCTTCAATCTTGGTTGACGTGTTTATAACAACTTAAATAATGTTTTTGCAGATTGTACGGAGCTATCACAAAGTGAATGACTGCAATCGAAGTATGTACAGGCACCGTTCTACCACTATAATATTAAAGTTGATCCAATACACATTTCTTTAGTATTCTAACCAGGTTGACAATAGTCCCAAATCTGTAATATTTTACATCTCAGTTTCATTACCCTCGATTTGGAGCTTGAGCAATTGTTTGCAGAAATAGAACCATTTAATGAATATAGAACCAGGCTGACAATAGTCCCAAAAATGTAAGTTTTACGTTTCATTTTATTCACATGGAGCTGATGTTAAACACAAAAAAATCAATTAGTTTTACCTCTTCAAATATTCTGGATATAATACCAATTAAGATACATGGTAGAAATTTAGCGCTGATCCATTAGGACAGAAAATAGTTGCTTGAACATTTTGTCAAGATTTACCGAGATTTTACTGTTAACTGTTAGAGATATGTGTGTACTTTGTATTTTCATATTGCACAAGGGTGCTTCTGCATATTGTACATGTACATATGGTATGGTTTGTCGTCTTCGTCGCTCTCTTTATGGTCTGAAACAAGCTCCTTGTGCTTGGCTTCAGCGCTTTGCCTCTGTGATCACTGCTGCTGGTTTTTCTCCGAGCGATCATGACCCCGCCTTGTTTATTCACACCTCGCTTCGCGGTCGCACTCTTCTTCTTATTTATGTTGATGACATGATTATCACTGGCGATGACTCTGAGTATATTGCCTTTGTCAAGGCACGTCTCATGAGCAGTTTTTTATGTCCGATCTTGGTCCTCTTTGTTATTTTCTTGGGATTGAGGTCTCTTCCACCTCTGATGGCGCATTTATTTGTCCCAAGAAAAGTACATTCAAGATCTTCTTGCTCGCTCCTCCCTCACTGATCATCGCACTGTTGAGACTCCTATACAGCTCAATCTTCAGCTTCGTGCCACTGATGGTGAACCTCTCACTGATCCCACTCGGTATCGCCATATTGTTGGGAGCCTTGTCTATTTGGGTGTGACCCGTCCTGACATCTCTGATGCTGTGCATATTCTGAGCCAATTTGTTACTGCTCCCACCAACATTCACTATAGCCATCTTCTTCGGGTCTTGCGTTACCTTCGTGGGACCATTACTCGTCGTCTGTTCTTCCCGCGCTCTAGCTCTCTTCACCTCCAAGCCTACTCTGATGCTACTTGGGCTAGCGACCCCTCTGAACGCCACTCTCTTTCTGCCTACTGTATTTTCCTTGGTGGTTCTCTCATTGCTTGGAAGACTAAGAAGCAGACCACGGTATCTCGTTAGAGTGCAGAGGCGGAGTTGCGAGCTATGGCTCTTGCTACCGCAGAGGTTACTTGGCTTCGATGGTTACTTGAGGATTTGGGTGTTTCAGTTTATGTGCCTACTCCACTTTTGTCTGACAGTACCAGTGCCATCAACATAGCTCGTGATCCAGTGAAGCATGAGCTCACAAAGCATATTGGAGTTGATGCATATTGCACTCGAGCTCAAGTCCAAGATGATGTCATTGCTCTTCGCTATGTGCCCTCAGAGCTTCAGATAGCTGATTTCTTCACCAAAGCACAGACAAGAGCTCAACATCGTTTCTTTCTCTCCAAACTCAGTTTTCGTGATCCACCCTGAGTTTGAGGGGGGGTGTTAGAGATATGTGTGTACTTTGTATTTTCATATTGCACAAGGGTGCTTCTGCATATTGTACATGTACATATGGTGGCCTTTTGCCCCCTTCTCAGAAGACAAGCTCTATTCTAGCATTAACTACTACTACTACTACTTTTTCAAAAAGTACAAACTGATGCTTTACTCGAGTTCATAGTTAGCCTTCCTCATCTAAGATCTAACATTAGGTGCAGTTTATTTGCGTTGAACTGATCTGTTTTTAACATTGAGGTTTTTGCTTCACACGCCTATTCCATTCGCAGTGAGAGAATCATATAATGTATCCATTTATATCTCCTGATGTGTATTGTCTAGAAATTCCCACAAGTATTCATCTTACATTGTAATGAATTAGGGAAGAAGAAAATTGCATTTCTCCTAAGATTGCATCTGTCTCCTAGTATGTTCAGAAATTATAATTTGATCTTATTGTCATCCATGAAAGTACCTTGGATGCTCTGTTCTTGGAAGAGAGCATCAGGCAGAGACAACTGGGTGTGTCACTATTGCAGGGTTTATTCTGTTAGCATTCTGATCAAGCGAATAAAATACAGCATTATAGATAAATCGAAATTGCCAACATTTAAGACTACCGTGAATCAACTTGTAGGGATTGTCGTTAGAACAAGAAAGCTCTTATCAAATAATAAAGTAATTGATTACTTATAGCCAGAAGAAACAAATCCTTGGTCCAGTTGATACAATCTCTACAACACTTAATATAGCCCAAGATATTATGAGGTCAACAGTTTGCTATTTCAAGGAACTTGAGATGGACAGCGGCAAACGTGGCTGGCGTTAAATTGGCATTTGTAGCATGTCTCTATTTCTTAAAAGTAAATATATCCATCCTAAAGTTGATATTTGATCTGCCTAATGGTTGTATTCTGGATGTAAGAATAAAGTAGCCTAATGGTCACTCTGGAAGGATTTAAAGTTAACACCATTCTATGTACCTCATCTTTGTACAGGCAAATTTTATGACAAGCTTGGGATTCCATACATTCTAATCACGTATCTCAAAACAAGGTAATATTGGTTTAATATTGATCCCCAGTTTTGCAGTACAGGATATATACAGATCATGAGAGAAAAAGATTATCTTCTAATCTGTCTTTTGAATTTTTAATTTTTCACCTTGCTAATTTGTGTTATTTCTTTTTGCTACAACTTTGTGATTTCCAGGTTAGATATATTCATGGAAAAATAAAACTACACTCAAATTTGAAGTACCTTCGAGATGAATACAGGCCAACACAAAGATCTGAAAACCTTGATTTTAAATTGAAATTTGTTGAGGTAAGACTAATACTATGATGTAGAACATTCTGTGGTCGAATGATTTTCTGTTAGGAATGTTTTATGTATTTTGAACTCAGTAGCATAACATCAGATATCTTCAGGAGATGCTTCCGAACATGAAGCTTGAATCTCTAGAATGGATTATCATCATCCTGATCAGCGTGGAGGTCTTAATATTTTTATGACATAATCCAAGGAGCGGCTGTAGTGCTCAGCCCTGTCTTGATTACGAGAAGCATATTTTGACCATGGATATTGGCATATTGGATAATTGGAATGCCATTTACAAAATGGTAAAGGATCGTCAAACACAACATGATTAATTGTGGCCCTCTGCCCTGAATCTGGTGTTCATATATTTTTCAGCATAATTTAGTAAGATTCAACAAGTGATTAATCTAGATGCATAGGCTGGCCCTCTTCATGGAGGAGCACAGCAACGCCGCGCCCGTATTTCTAGTTGTAACCTAACATAGTTGGTAAGGCATGCTGTCCCTACTCCCTACCATATGGCAGAATGGTATAAAATGTAAACAAGGCACGAGAAAAAAAAATCGCAATTTCTGTGTATGTGGTATAGTCAAGGTACTATTAGTAGGGCACAAACAGTTCTCGAGTAATTACCAATGATCTCAACATCTTTCAACAGCTTCATGATATCAATCTCAGGCTCCTCATCAGATGTGTCAGCAGATTTCTCCAAAACTGGCTCCCGATACATATCCGAGAGACTCGATCCCTAGAAGGGGAAAAAACGAAGACCATTAGGACGCCAGTGGGATCTACTGTGAACATGGAGGAACTGCAGCGCCAATTGAACAAAGATGTTCCAGAGAGAAGGCAGGAGAGACGGAGACAAACCATGAAGCTGTTCCGCTCTTTGCTAGCCGACGGCGCCCCAGGGCGGCGGGGCTTCCGGGCACCGGAGGCCAACGGGTCAAAGATCACTTCCGCAGCCGCCTTGACCGGCGTTGGCTTGGGCCTCCCCTTCACCATCCTCTCGTTCTCCTCCTGTTCCCCTTCCCCACAGCCTCGGGCACTGCTGGAGAACGTCACCGCGTCGGCGTGGGACGACCGGAAACCGGAGGACGGGAACGGCGGCTCGGAGAATCGCAAGATGCCAGGCACGGTCGGCGTCGGCGCCGGCACAGCTGACGCGAGTTGCGAGGGCGGAGGTGGGACTGACTGGTGAGTCTAGGGCTGGCGGATTGGGCTCTTTTTGGGCCGAATAGGATTGAGTTATCCGTCAGGAGTCGGCACGCATATGCGCCGGCCCATCATCCGTAGCTTCGCTGTGCGCCTGTGCTGGTCTCGCGGTCGCAGGTGCACGGCGCCACGCGTTGGCTTGATACCTTCTGGGCCGTCGCATTCATTTCAAAAAATGAATGAAAATGAAACAAGAGGGAGGCTTAGCAACAGCACCTCATTAGTCGTTACTAAGGATCAAAACGGAACGGAAATATCCCGAACCGAACCGCATCATTTTCGATATTTAATCTGATCGAATCCGTATTTTTTTATCCGACTTTACCGTTTTCGCTTTCTCATTTCAAATGTTTCGTATTTCAAATGTAAAAGTAGAAAACGGTTTAGACATTTTTCGACCGTTTTCTATTTTTCTACTTTTAATTTAAAATATTCCGAATTGAAAATTCGGTTTAAACCGAATTTGGCCAACTGCACAGGTCGTACAGCCCAATTACAGGTTGTTCACCACGCAGCTGCGTTCTTTCTACTGGTGGCCAGCTGCCCTCTCTTATAGACGGCGTCCAGCCCATCTCTCTTCACCTCATGAGATGGTGCTAAATGTCAAGAAACCAACAGCATCTACACGAAAGCCCACCTGGGCCATAGCCCATCAAGCTCATCGGTTTAACCCCCACCTACAAAGTCAATCATTTGATAGTTTTTGCATCAGCCGAATAAATCTTTGTTACTCAAAAGAAAAATCTGAATAAATCTTTAAAATAAAATACTACATCTATTTTAAAAAGATTAATAAAATTATTCTGACTCAGTTCGAGTTCATGTTTCTATAATATGCATTTGTTAATTATTATATACATTTGAACTTGATCATGTATGCACTTAGTCATGCACTTGGTCTACGGGTCGGTATTCTGTATTGAGTTTTCGTATATCGACCGTGTTCGACATAAATCCGCTCGAATTGGTTCGTTTTCGAAATTCTCAATAATTCGTAAGTTCGCGTTCGTTTTCGTGTCCGATTTTATCGTTTTCGCTTTCGTTTTCGTATTTCAAATGTAAAAGTACAAAACAATTTAGAAGTTTTTCGACCATTTTCGACCGTTTTCATCCTTAGTCATTACTTCCCTAAAAAAAGCACCTCATTGCTCCAAGCGTCCATGAATAAGTGAATTTTCAGAGTCGTCTTAAATTAAACTTTCAATTGGTTTTATAAAAAAAACTATACGTACACTAAAAACTATTAAATGGAAATATACTTCATGTTGTATCTAATTATATTAATTTTATGTCGTAAATTCAGTAAATCATACAGAATTTGACTTAGAACAACTTCAAAGGTTGTTCTATTTAGGGAGAGATGTCGTGTTACTCTAAAGAGAACAATAATAAAGGAAATAAAGTAGGTGGCCAACTACTGAAATCTCAACAATGCATTTTCATTTGAAAAGGGATCACAGATATCGCCATCCATTGATCGACAACAATCGACAGGTGTTGGTTGTCATCGTGCATTTTCCCGATATATAAGTCTTTTTGTTGCAATTAAATTGCCCTTCTGCAGTATACTAGTATTAAACAACGAAAGAAAAGGCTCATATATTGCATCCAAAAGCTTCCCATTTGTTTCAATTCAGTCGATCGATGCATGCAATCAGTGGGTTTTCAGTTGGTGGTTATGTGTGCACACTGCTTAATTTCCACTATCCACTACTGGACTCAGGCTCTTTGCCGAGTGCCTGTGACACTCGGCAAATCCCCATATACACTCGACAAATGTAGTTATAGCTTTGCCGAGCGCCTCACGGGGGGCACTCGGCAAAGCCCGCCCTCTTTGCCGAGTGTCAATCCCACTACACTCGGCAAAGGTGGCCGCTTTGCTGAGTGCCTAATTGGCGGCACTCGGCAAAGGCAGGGAGGCTTTGCCGAGTGCCTTATGAAATGACCTGATTTCCGCAAAGAAAAGTCCACAGAGTCGAAGTGTATTATGACCGTTGTAAATCATATTACCCAAATTTCAATTGAATACCACATCCATACAACGATAATATCATAGTACAAAATAGTGCGGAATTACATAAATTATTACATCGCCGCATTGACGGAATCAAAAGTAGCATTCATTCAGAACAGCTTGAAGATAAGATCGCCAAACTCGAGCGTAGGAACGAACCCCTCAACTGTCAAACTCCTCAGAGCTATACTCCTCATCAGAACCTGTATGCCAAAATTTATCAGTACGATTTGTACTGGCCACTCCCACCCTATGAGCATTGCTTTGTGAAAATTGGATGCAAGTTTGATATAATCAAAAGGAACCTATAGGGCTGGGGTTTCCTATGTATTAGCATATCAAGTATATAATAACAGTTGGTTAAGTTTTAACACCAATCCCACACCCATTCCACCCCATTCCCGTCCAGAGCCAGGTTTCGATCCTAGGATCGATATACCACCATCTCCACATCATCACCACATTACCACCATACCATCGCTCAGTCGACAGGCCAACTCACTCTCGGCACTGTCTCATAGCCCGTAGCCCCTGGCTACGACCGACACTCTCTCACGGGGAAGAAGAGAAGGACCCATCTCACTATCTAGTTTAAGCAAAACCCAGGAAAGGTTTATAGCCGACAAGTCGACATATGTATCGATCGATCAACCATACACTCTGCAGAGGTTTTACATAACCACAAGATCCGCCTTCCTCACTGACCGTCGTCAACTGGGCTGATTCCGGCCGCTTGCTAGCCTAGGATAATGTAACTCTGCCATTCAGCCCTGGTACACCCCAAGTCTAGTCTGGGGTGGCTGAAACTGTGAGTCATGAGCCGGGTCCACAAGGTCTCCATGAAGTCTCGGAAGGGTGTGGGGGGAAATCCTCCGCGCCCCGTACCTCCTTGCACTGTCCGCTATCAACCTAGCAGTAGTGGCAATATCCTACCAAGTAGTCCGGCCGTCCCGCACCATATAAGGCGAGTGGTACGTAAGGCTTCCCGATGAATCTGAGTACTAGTAAGTCCTTAGGGGTGACCAAGCCAGAATGTCTTCATCAGGGTTTCTATTTATCGTGCCACCACAGCACCTCCACCCCGGGCTCCTCCCATCACAGGTTCACACCCAGGGCCACCTTATATACCATTTACCCACCACAGATATCCACTCCAGGGGTGCCTAGGTAGCACCCCACGGTAAGACTTGCCCTAGGCTCGTTGTATACTCCAACTTGGTCGACACAACCCTCACCATCCACGCACCCAAGTCACACACGCAGCACTCTCCCCATAGTCCAGATAACACCAGTTTCCACCACGCATCAATGTAGTACAAGCGTAGTAGAAGTAATAAGCAATGAAATATAGCAGCAAGCGTGTGTCTAGCCTAATAGTAGGGTAAGCAGGGGTAAGGTTGCTTCAAGGTAAAGGCCATCAAATAAGCATACTACCATACAAGTCCTATCATAGTGTGAATATAACAATAAAATAAAGCAATAGCAGTTCTATATTAGCCATGCGTAATAGGTGCTACGAGGTTGGGTGGGATGTGGCACCTTCAGAGAAGTCGTCTCCGTACTCCTCACGGTACTCTTGGTCCTCGTCCGTCTGATTCTCCTCCGAGTCTGCAAACGATCGCATTATAATCGCGTTAGCGATGCCTATAGAATAGCACAAAGAAGCAATGAAAATTTAAAAGAGTCAAATGCACTCAAACATGGGTTCATTGCATAGAGCTCGATTTTAGATGAATTTTGGTCCTGGTTTTATATTTTTCTGAGGTCATATGAATTAGTTACGAATTTCCGAAGATTAAATCCATTTTTGAAAATAATAAAGGCTGATTAATTCAGGGCTCACACGTGTCACACTGTGACTGGTTCACGTGGCATGTAGGGACTTGGAGTGGTGTATCAGCTGGTGAGGTGGTCGAAGAGGTCGCCGAGGTGGTCGGAAAGGTCGCCGCGGTGGTCGGAGAGGTCGCCGAGGTGGTCGGAGAGATCGCCGAAGTGGTCGGAGAGATCGCCGAGGTCCCCGACGCTGGCGTGGTCTCATCTTCGGCATGACGTCAGCATGGCGTCATCAGGGCTAAACCGCGGCTGACAGGTGGGGTCCCGCTGACATCAGCATGACGTCATCATCTCGGTTGGTCACTGACAGGTGGGTCCAGGGTCAAACGGTGACTGACAGGTGAGGCGCGGTTCATGGTGAACCCGCCTGCGTTGGTTCATAGACCGCAGAGCCGGTCTATGAAGGACTTGGTCCACTTACTCCTTCCCAGGGTTCGGTTCACGTGCACCAAGTGCACGGACGTGTGGTCGACGAGGGGAAAATCCCCATCTTCTTCCCCGACGTGCTCCCGCCGGTGGTGAGCTCATCGACGAGCCCCTCCAGCAGCGTGGGTGTGCAATTAAGGTGGGCAAAAGCTTGGCCTTGCCATGGCGGGTGCCCCGGTGAAGTTAACGTGGTGGCCGGGCGGCTCTAGTTGGCTGGCCACGGTGGCGGCAATCCTCGTACACGGGCGAGCGGCGGTGTGGTGGCTGTGGCGGCGGTACCGGAGATTGGTGGTGTGCACGAGCTCCCCGACGCTGCTACGGCCATGGCGAGTAGGTCGAAGGGGCTCCGGGAGCTCTCAACGCCTCTGGCCACGGTGGGGGGGGGGGGCAAAGCGGAGGCGGTGGCGCTCCGACGAGGTGCGGTGCGGCAATGCAGGGCTCCGATGGGCTTCATCCTCGGCTAAGGTGAGCGCGGTGTGTCTCTCATCATGGCGGAGCCAGTCGGGGTGTCAACATCGCCTTTACCGCGACGTAGAAGACGCTGTGGTCTCGCCATGGTTGTGCCCTCGGCCATGGCGTGTAGGGTGGTCGTGCCGATGTTCCCAAGCCGCTAGGGGTCGGTGAGGCCAGGCCTTGGGCTTGTGCGTGTGCAGTGCGTGTGCAACGTGTCCAGGAGCGGGAATGCTTCGCCTCTGCGTCCCCTAGGTGCGGGAACGCGATGGCGTTCATGGCGAGTACGGCTAGCGCGGTGAGCGGCGAATGACGTGGCTCACCGTAGGGCTCGTGGCGGTAGGATGGCGGTGCGGTGGCGAGGCGAGGCCGTGATGAGGCGATGCAGTGCCGTGCCGAGCAGCTACGTCGCTGTAGCTGATCGGGGCGGCGCTCCTGGCTCCGGCGAGGTCCGATTCCGCAGCGGCTTCCTTCTCCTCCTTGCTTCTTCCTCCTCCCTCTCTCTCGGCTTGACGCGGTGTGGTGCCGTGCCACCAGCGGTAGCGGCGAACGGGCTGAGGGTTAGGGCTCGCGGGCGCTGGCTTTTATAGCCGAGCTCCAAGGGCTCCAATGGCGGACGGCGATCGGGCGGTGGTGATACGTGCGGCGCATCCGACGGTCCTAGCGTGCGGGGTTGGTGGCGTAGGGGTTGCATGGGCGCGGCTCCAAGGGAACAAGGTCATGCGATTTGCGTGACCCTAGGCCCACGCCTGCTGCTTCGGTCGGGACTCGGTCGGGAGGAGAGGCTGGCGTGGGGAGGAAGAAGACCCTGTTGCTGGGGTGGCTGACGCGTGGGGTCCGGTTGGCAGCGGCAGCAGGCGAGGTAAAAGGGCGCGCGGGCGTGAGCGGCGCGTTGGGTCCGGCTTGCTGGGCCTGGTGCTGCAGCGCGTGCGGGGGAGGAAGGCAAGCGTAGGCTGGGCTGGTTAGCGGGCCGAGCAGGCCGAGCCGGCTGTGAGGCTTCCTTCTTTTCTTTTTCTGATTTGTTTTTCTTCTTCTTTATTTGAATTAAAATTTTATTTGGAGTTTGAATTCAAATATGGTGTATCTCATCCATTGGATTTTTAGATGGGAGGCCCACAACACTCTTATATATATTAGGGACTTTATTTAGCTATTTTGTGTAACAAAAAATAGTTGTAGTTTTGTTATACAAAAATAGAAATAGTTTTCACTTTAAGCATTTATTCTTTGGTTTGATTAATATTTACTTTATGGTTTATTACTTTAAAGGAGTTGTTAAGCATTACGTAAAGCAAATGGAAATCCAAATCACAATTTGAGTTAACAATGTATGCAATATTTTATTTGTTGGGATTTTAAATAAACATAATTAACAAATGACATGCTATGCTAATGAAATTGTCTAGTTGGGTTACAACTAATGCAACACCTAGGGTTGGCTCCTACAAATGTCACTCGTCATCACGTAGGATTTTGAAAAAAAAATTGTAGTTGTGATTTTTGGTGTGTGGATTTTTGGGTTGTTACACCTTACTTGTGGCACTCGGCAAAGGCAGGGAGGTTTTGCCGAGTGCGTTACTTGTGGCACTCGGCAAAGGCTCCCTGCCTTTGCCGAGTGCAATGGTCATAGCACTCGGCAAAGTCAGCTTTGCCGAGTGTCTTAGTGATTGCACTCGGCATAGCTGGGAAATTTATTTTTTTTTTGCATTTTTTTTGTTTATTGCATCCACACATACATATATCACACAACCACATATCACACAACAATCACATATATCACACAGCCATCACATATAATCCATAACCATGACAAATATCATCACAAGTTGTCCATAAGTATCACATAGTCCACAAATATCATCCAAGTGCCGCCACAAGTGCCACTATTCACAAATAAGCATCACAAGCACAAGTCCATCTACCTCTATTGTTGACGGCCACTCCACCGGTCCCACTGCGACGGAGGTGTGCCCTGAGTTGGAGGTGTGCCATGAACATCATTCGACGCCGCTAATTGCCCCTGCACAAAAGAGAAGTGATTGTATGTGTGAGACAAGATTTAAGATAGGTTCTAAAAACTTGAAAAAAGCAACATATTAGTGGTTGGCATTTGCTGATCCTACTTGCAGCCCACTATATATGGCCTACCAAGACTCCAAGAACATCCCATCTCTGAGACGACAAAGCCAACCAGATCAAGAGCAGCTGAGGAGAAGAAATGTACGTAACAAGGCCTCTGTCAAGGTACCTGGCCGACCCCAAGTTCACGGCAGAGCCGCCGCCTGAAGGACCGGGCTCAGGGTTCCTCGTCGTGCTCGACGAGGCTACCGAGCAAGCGAGTACGCTCTGCTGTGGCCTGTGCCTAGATCCCAGGGTGCGCCGTCTCCCATTCCCACAGAACCGGCAGCTCTCCGTGAAGCAGGGCAACAGCTCTGATCCATTGGAGGGTTTCGGGAAATGTATCGATGTTATCTCAGAGATTCTAGGTATCGCATTACAAGTTTTACGACCAGATGACCCCTCCGGCGGCGGCAGGCCTCCGGGCGCCGGCAGGTACATGGCGCCACCAGACTATGTCATGTTCGTGCCCGTCATCGGCCAGCCGCTGTCGTCCGGCCGCTACTATGTCGTCAAGGTCGACGGCAAGCACACCGGGTGAGCACATACATCTCGGCCGAGGATGATCGATGTCTCAATCTCAGTCACCATCTGACTGACATGTGACATGCATCCGTGCAGGAAGGTGTCGGCGTGCTACAAGATGACGATGGAGCAGAGCTGGGAGCAGATATACAGCAGGGAGAACGCCACACATCTTCAAGGGACTGGGAGCAGCAGTACCAGGCTGGAGATCGCAGTGACTGCGACTGTGCGGCGCTTCACGGCGATGCTGGGCGGCACCAGCCCGGTACAAGCAGGCGCGCCCCAGGCGGATGATGGGGCGATGTGGTTCCGACCAAGGTTTTCGTTATCGGAAATAAAAATCTATCGGAGGTCATAGATAAATAGGATAAGCAAGATATATTGGAAATATCGGATCAAATTAAAAAAAATTCAAATTATTTTGAAAAAATTCCGTAGAATTTGACTTGAAACTATTTCTAAGCTATTAAACATCACTTGTTCACAGATAAAAACAAGAATAAAACATTATAGTGTGAGATTGTCGCACGACTGAATTTGGGTTGTCTGTGTGGAAGCAGGAAAGAAGGGAAAAATTTGATCGATGTCAAGTTTTATCGGACCCTGTGGATAGAAAGGAAATTTCGAAAATTTCCGTGAATTTCGGTCGATAAAAAAAACATTGGTTCCGACCAGGACGGCGGCGAGAACCACTGTTGGAGGTGTGGGGCTTGACATGGTGCTGTGGGAGAGAATGAGGTGGGAGGTGGAGAGGGGAGGCCGGTGGGTTGCGGCCACCGGCAATGGCGACGAGGAGAGGATCCAGCGGACAGAGAGGCGCGACGACGGCCTGGGCCACTGGAGCAAGTTTGGGTGCTATTTGCTGGTTGAGGTTTGTGCTCAGGAGGATGGATGGCACCGTGGCACTCACCTGTGAGTTCAGGCACACAGACAAGATTAAAGCCAAGTGGCTATGACCAAAATGTACATGACCACTGAAGCTATTTGTTCGTCAAAATTGGAGTCAAATTTTGTGCCTATGGACTACCTCGTTTCAGGTTCATCAGTTGTGGTTTTTAGGGAGTCCGTGTATATCTTGTTGTTGTCCTTTGCTTTCGGCTAGCAAGTTGGGTACTTTTGGTATAGCTTGTGCTCATGTTCGTGGTGGTGTTAATTAGTTTGCTTGACTCTTGAGTCTCGGATCTTCTATTTAAGTTCAGTCAAAGTCCAGAAAAAGCTGCGTTTCATGGCAGCACCAAACCCTCTATATGTATGTTAGTCGCTGACCCCATATGCTCCAACGTGGGCTAAAATTTAAAAAAGACACAAATGTGACATGTTTATTTGAATACGGACAGCGAATAAAAACTGGCAGAGACATCCTAAAGCTGTTGGACCTTTGGGATAGTAGAGTGCCAATGCACACTTTCCCCGAGCATTTCTGCTTTGTGAAAAGAAAGACAACTACCCTTGCAAAAGCCACATTCATATATCATGGTGCATTTGTCTCAACATATCATTTGGATTCACATTCATATATTCATATCCACATTCACATTTAGATTTAAGGTAGAGAAGCTCACGGGAGTGACAGCAGGATCATTTGGTGGAGTGAATATCATCGGTGGCGGAACATAGCCTGAGTGAGCTCCAAGACCTTGAATATACTGAAACATCTGCTCCATCCTCCGTCGATCCTCCTCAGCCCTCGCCTCAGCCTCCTCCCGTCGCCTCCTCTCTTCCGCCACCTCGGCCTACAATATTTCACCCCAATGATACAACGCAAAGCAAAGGTATGTAAAAATCAATGAACGTGTTTCAAAAAGTTGAACCAGCCGCCTAGCTAGGATTATTCAGTTGCACCGTGTGTGTTTTATTTGTGGCTGTTTCTTGTTTGAAATCAATCCCAATTCCTTGACAAAAAGATTGTGACTACTGCAGCAAAAGGGAAAGGAAAAAGAAAAGAAAAGAAAATACTGTAGTTTGCAAACAAAACAGGGATCTGCTTCCTGCGGCATTGCAGCCTTGCAGGTCGTCCATGCTACGTTTGTGCTTGTGACATAAACCAACTGCAAGGGTGCCGATGTAACAGTTGTTACATTGTGAGGAAGAAAGTAGTGCTATAACTACATGAAAGCCGCTCAAGCCATACAGTAGCAAGGACCTAAACCATCTGATTTCCCCTCGCTCCCTCACCAAACTCTGGTTCAGTATAAAGGGAGGAAGAAAGTAGTGGCCAATGTAACAGTTAATGGTCAATTATTACATTGTAGTATATTTCCAGTTTAATTCTGTTTAGCAGCTATAGTTTGCTAAATATTCAATGTCCCCAGCTAACTATTTGATTCCCATATATCTTTGATACAGATATAAATGAGTGTGATCTTCGGAAATCAGATCCTGAAAAACTATATCCCTGTTATAGTGGTAGCACATGCCATGATACACAGGGTGGTTATAAATGCAAATGCAAATTTGGACATTGAATGAAACAATATAAAATAAAAGTGGTACTACTTAGCAACAAAAATACTTCCAAAAGAATGAGGAAGCATCTTGGCGGTCAACTCAAGTTATCTTTAGAATCCTCAAAAAGACAGAAAGGGAAGATTATCTTTAAAAGTGTCACTTTGAGAAACTTGGAACCTATAGAGCCAAGGGCCTGTTCGGCAGGACTGAAAAATAAGTCAAAATACTGTTCCGACTGATTGTTGTGAGAGAAAAATATTGTTTTGTCTGGAAATACTGTTCACGTGAACAGTGATTTCGTGAGTGGGCTGGCCGAACAAGGCCCAAGTTTCTTGATCAGAGTAAGAGCAATTAAGTGATAAAAATCATAATTTAGACAACTATTTTCAAGGATGAGTTCATTCAACTTAAAAAACATTTTTTTCCTGACAAGAATAATAAAATTTCACTGAAATACACAAAGTTGCAGGATTATGGAAACACCTCAAAAACCTGGCTAACACTGAAATCTCCTATCTTCACATTGCCTGAGCTTGTAACCAAGAGATTGTCTGGTTTGATATCACCATGAATAACATTCTGTGTATGAAAATGACAAGTTTCAGTGTCACATTCAAGCTAGGAAACATGCGGCATAGTGCAAACTGCATAACATAGAAAAACAACCAAACATGAGCACATGGTTACTGGCACATGTAAATAAGTTAAAAAATGGGAGAGAAGAAACATTAGATGGGAGTCTGGGAACTGTGGGATTTACTTTTCTAGGCAAGCATGATCTATCATGCACAGCAGTGATGAATAAACTAAATAAGAATTTTAGCATTGTTGTGAATCGTCGTTCGCATTGGATCTACTGTGCAGGGGATGGCCAGGTGGTGTAACTTCAATTAGGGTATTACATTGAAATGAGAGAAAAGAAGAGTTGAGAGATATCGCCAACGATTTAGAGACTGGAGAGATTATTTCTTGCTTACTTTTATGGAGGATTTGGTTAGACCGGGTCCATCTCTATCTATCGTTATCTTTAACTTCTCAGCCCCTAGTAGAAACTAAAATGGACTCAATATAACAATACTTAACCTTCCTAATATCTCCCTAAGTCCTAAGCAAAACCAACCTCAACTGTTGTTGCCATATACCACAGACATGGCATTCCCTCAACTATAATGCCTAAACTAATCTGTTGAATGAACCACATTGTTCACCATGTAATATCTAGAAGCATGTTGCTCCAGCCAGCACCCTCTGTAGCAGCTGCTGCTCGCGTCACATACTGCTGCCAGGGTGCAAGCACACAAGAAGCAAATAAATAATCTGCTTGACAGATAGACTGATATTAATGCTTACAGCTTTATACAACAACAAAAAACCAAGTTTGATGCATACCACCATCTTAAATGTCAACTGTGCTTTGCCTAGTCCTTGAGTGAGGACATCATCATATTTTTAGATAAATCCAATGACTACCCAAAAACCAAACGAATAGCAGGCAATTGGCTGTGCTCAAACTTATGGAAGCTGAAATCTCAAGTTCAAGCCTACATATCCAGGACTTAAGTGTATTTATTTATGTCCAGTAGGCAGTGGCTTGCAGAAATCCATTGATCTTACACAAATCATGAAATGACCATGCATTACAAAACCAAACCAGTATTTTCCAATGCACTGAAATACTGATTATAAAGCTAAAACAAGATCGGCAAAATACAGTTCAGCCGCAAGCATGGAAATACAAATACAAAAGGAAAAAGGAAGAGGGGGGCGTTTGTAGAAGAGGAAATACAAATGATTTTCCAAAAAAAATGGCACCCTGGAAAATTGTTTTCAACAAGATATACCTCAACTTATCTACCATTGGTTTTCTAAATTGTAAAGTATGACATGGCACAGTATTCACCCAATATACAAGGTAACGGCGTGATTTTTACACAGGGTGATTTTTAATACTGTTGCTGGCTATGAAAATTTAAAAATCACTTCAATTTGTATAGTTGCATAATACAAAGGTATGCATGTTGATCTAAGACTGGTTTATTCTTTTTTTGTGCTACTCGTTTTATTATGACACAAGTAGCTGTACATGATAGTTTTTGTCTTCTTAAAATCATGATTAGTTCAATACTTTGTAAGGCATATATATCGAATGGATTTTGAGATCCAAAGTTGTAGTTTGAGGTAAAGATGAAATTATTTTTAATGATAAAAGGGAACTGATGTATTGTTACCATTCCATTAGGTGCCTATGAATTACCGGGGCTGCAGAGGCCGGACGCCGTGCCGGAGATGGTCGCGAGGACGCTGGCCCCTGTGTGGTGCTCGACCAAGCTTAGTCTCCTCTCCCGGGTTGCTTGGCGAAGCGGATGGAGGAGATCGGCCGCGGGCGAGACGAGTCCAGAGGCGGCGAGCAGGAGCGGAGTGGCTGGCGGGTGGCCGGCGTGGTAGTGGGCGGGCATGCAGCAGCGTTGGTTATGGGCGGGTGGCTTGGGCGGTGACGGGGCAGCTGGTGGCCAAACTTTGCGGTGGAGGCGGCTTGAGGCCTTGTCGGCGGGCGAAGCCTGGCAGCTTGAGCACGGCACAGGGAACGAAAGCGGGCAGCATGGGAGGAAGGCGCTGCAGCGTGAGGATGACGGGCAGGTGGGGGGCGGCGAGTGAGGGAGCGAGGGAGGGAGGTTGCAGAGGACGCGGTGAGGGAGCGAGGGCGCTGGCACTCTGGCAGGGCGGTGAGCGTGCATGCGTGAGTGAGTCTCGGCCGTGGCAGTTAAGTCCTGGGTCAGGCCTTTGCCGAGTGTCCGCGATCCGGCACTCGTCAAAGCCGGGATTTTTTTTTAAAGAAACATTAAAAATCTTTGCCGAGAGTCAAGCCGATAAGGCACTCGGCAAAGACTATACTTTGCCGAGTGCGAACCCTAGGACACTTGGCAAAGGTATTTTTTTAAAAAAACTTTCTATTTCATTTCCCTTTTCCTTAACCGTTTTTTCCAAATTTGTCCCAATACACTTTGAAAATACCTTGTCAAATTCACTCAACAATGCAAATTTGATGCTTCAGCGAAAAATAGACCATGATTTCATGTAGTTATAGCTCAAATTCCATTTATATAATTGCAATTACAAATTAATAATTATCAAATGGATCAAAAAATCGCTAAAATTTAACATGACACGATCTTTGATGTCTATTGGCTATTAAAAAAAGTTTCAGAGTCAAACCACAACTCGACTGTCACTTTCACTCTAAATCTTACCAGATCATTCTCAACAATCATAAAACTTCTTCGGAGATGTTTCGGTTTGTAAGCAATGTACATGACAACTTATGCGACACCTTCTCAATTTTTTACCACAGCCTCCACATATGATATCATGACATCTTATAAAATTTCATGATTTTCAGACTTCCTTTGCTTTTTTATAGAATTTAAAAACCATTCAACCACACGCTCAGGGTCGTGTTTCCGAAATAAGATGTTCGAAAACCCTTATAATCTTATAGGTAAGGCCTCAAACTGGGTTGAATAACATGAATATCAATTTTATACTCATTTTTTCCAAATATTTGAATCACTTGCAGTTCAAATTTAACTTAATTCAAAAAATTGCTTGAAATGCAATTAATTAGTTAAATATAGCAAATAAATTCAAAAATACACCAAACTTAAGCATGGAGTACTAAATGTGGTATGTGGAGAGGTGAAAATTTTTGAAGTGCAGGAGTCAAAAAAAAATTATACTTTGCCGAGTGTCTGCTTTAGCCTCTTTGCCGAGCGTTGCATTTGTACACTCGGCAAAGAGCTGACGGCGGCAGGCTGGTTTAACGGCAGGCCAAAATTTACCGAGTGTGAGACATTGACACTCGACAAAGGCATGTCTGAGCACTCGGCAAAGAGGACGTCTTTGCCGAGTGCTGAAACTGAGCACTCGGCAAAGACCAGCTTTGCCGAGGGTCGTGTCGTTGTCGAGGGTTGGAGTTTGGGCACTCGACAAAGACAGCCTTTACCGAGTGCCCGAGATAAAAAAACTCGGCAAAGTTATTGGCACTCGGCAAAGCTTGCGATTCCGGTAGTGATCCTCGCTTCTGATTCCTTGGAGTCGGATCGGTGGCCATATTTTGCGTGTGCCTGCAAATCCGCATTTCCTTTTGTGTTTCGCCTCAGCACTGCACTATATATTATCTATATATAAATCTCAATTTGGTAGGCCAAAGCCATAAATCAACTGCAAGTTTGCTTCTTCTATTGCTACTTTTAGAAGTCCTCCCTACAGTGCCAAAGTGCTAATTAGCTAGCTTTTCTTAGATAAGGACTAATTAGCTAGCTAGTACCAAGTACTCTTCTAGCTCTTTATCCTAATCGCTTCCATTCTCTGATGTTACACACTGTCATAGGAATATATTGGAGCTAGGCACCTAGCTAGCTTAGCTAGCTAGATAGGGTTCTAGGCAACTTTATTTTACTGTGATTTCGTAATGACAAAGATAGTATATATAATTGCCACATGAATGCTACAAGTACAATCTCTAAGCCTTATAAAACATCATTGAGCTGGAGCTGGGTTAAAAGCTTAAAAGATGCCTTGCCTGAACCTTACTTTTGTGTTATGCTGTGATTCTGAGATTCTCCACAAGCAGAATTCTAATCCTGCTACCTATACTATACCTGTAGCTCCCTAGTTCATCAATTGCCTGATGCTAATATAGTAGGAGTTGGTACATGCTGAGAACCGAGAAGTGCAGCTTGCTTTTGTCATTCATTCAGGTGCACACGAACAAGATAGGTATTTATATTCAGACCAACCGAACAGTACTGTTTCGTCGCTGATTGTGCGTCCACAAGCTTTTCGCCAAACTCCGCACCAAGAAAATGGTGCCTGTAGTAGATTACACTAAAAAAGGCCAAGCTCAACCCTCTCAAAACAAGATGGCCTCTCTCTCTCAGATACACATACATAAAGTTCTCTGATGATGTATGGATGGAAGTGGGCTAAATGATGAGCAGGATCATGGGCATTTTTTCTGATGT